GTACATCTTTCATTTTCCAAAGGTGTATCCTTATGGTACGTAACCCAAAAAGTACATACCGGTTGGGACTGAATGGCTGTAATGTTCTGTGTAATTCAATAGCCTATATGAATACTGGTTGCTTCTCCCTATCTGTCAGGTGGACAGTGATCAAACTAGAAAGACAGCAGAAGGGAAGCAGTTTCTGATTATTTTTACCCTAAGTGGATTTTTTTNGTGCAGTGTATCTCTACCTTGGATGTTATCTGTACAGATTAGCTTTTTTCATTCTGTAACTTTGCGGTCAATCGTGGGCACACTAATTGCAACAGGAAACTAAAATAATGAATTAACCTTAGGGAACAAATCTGTAATTGATTGGTGGCCCTCGATTGGAACTCTAGAAAATGTTAAATATAATTCTCAATCTTGTCTAATCCTATATAAGATTTCAGTAAATAAGGTCAAACGTAGGACACTAAACTCTTAAATTTAGATTGACATTTCATTCAGGGTACGAGTTGGTGACTTTTACCCTATTTCACCATATTCAAACTCAATTATTTGCTGCTGATTGATATCCTCGCAGTCTGGTCTGGTTCTAAACGAAGGAATCATAACAACAATCTATGGGGGAAAAGAGTCAAAATTCTGAAGTGGCGACAGGATATATATGTGTGGTTGTGTCACAGTGCATATAGTATTTGTGACCAATTATCACTTACTGGTGGTCAAACTATCAGTTAACATTTGTGAAACTTTTGCTACAATAATAAAATTATCCTAATTTAAATTTTTTGGTCAACATTGCTTTTCTGGATAAAGTTTACATTTTTATGTATTTTCTGTCCTTTGCTTCATTTAAAAATGAGCATCACTTTTTTTTAAAATTAAAAATGGCTTAAGTTATTGAATATGTGCGGTGCTCTGGCCTCAGGCTATATATCTTGTTCAATACACGTTAAAATAGCACAGCTTTGCTAACCTATGCCTTGAAAAATGGTATACTTAATGCTGTCCTTGATGTGTTTTTATGTGTGTTTTTGTGAAGCAAAGTGCTGGTGTGAGTGCAATGTCCACACACATTGCTAAAAACTGATCTCGAGTTTCCCTTCTGCCTCAGTTACATAGGAACTGAGGGGAATTCAGCGGCGAGATCCGCCTCACCTTTACCGCTTAACAAAAACATTTGCTAAGTGTATTGAATAAATGCAACAAATCTGTTTTAATGTGGGAACATTCAAGCAGTCGTTTCACACAACTTTAAATGCAACCGAAAACCATAAGCTCAGTTGACGGTGTTGTACAAACCAGTGGCACTGGATGTCAAATTGCTTAAGCAAATGTTTTTCTTCCAAAAAGTTTTGATCTGAGTGTCTCTATCATTCAATAATGAAAGCAAACTTTTTTATATATAAAAAAGCAGCTTATGAGGTAAATCAGTAACTGGCATAATGCACACTGGTATTTTTCAAAGGAAGAGTAAAAAAGTTTTGAAAATGATGTGGTGGAGCAGAGCGATGCGTTCCCTGGCCGCGGTAGGTCAGCTTCGGAGCGTTCATGCTGTAGCTTATGTTTTGATATTCTCATTACCAGTGACATAACCTATAAAATGTTCTGCATGTATTTATATGGTTCTTGTATTGGAATGAATAGTCAAAATAGCTTCTTCCAGAACTGGAGTCCTGTAGCTCAGTGGTTAGAGCACTCGCTTTGCAAGTGAGAGACCTGAGTTCAGTCCCCGGGGGGTCAGGGCCAAACCTCGGGCAAGTTTCCTCACTCCACACAGAGCCTAATAATAATCCTCCAAAACCAAAAACAATAATAAATTGGTCATTTTCAATCCATATGACTGTTTGTGGGACATTGCTGTGTGCAATTGGCTGCCGCGTTCGCCCACAAATATACAGTCAATTCACTTTACAGTGTGTTCTGTGAAGCGCTTTGGGACGTCCTCCCGACGTGAAAAGCACTATATCAAATGCAAGGATTATTATTATTATTATTATTTACAATATAGTCCATTCGGCCGGGAAGCAAAGACATTTAAAAAGAATGCAATGATTTAACAAAACCAAGTGTGATTCTCGGAGAGTATTTTTTTACCAGTAGCCTGCAGTTGTGAATCTTGGATAATTCTCTTGCACGCTTTGTGTATTGAAAGAATGCATATTTCTCTCATCAGTTTATGAATCACTTATCTTGTTTTAAATAAACTTGTCGTTGCTGTTTATGTTGAACTATAGAAATGGATCGAATTTCAGTTAATCTGTGTTTTAGTGCAATGTGTTTTTGGAAGATGTGGAAACCATTTTTGCAGTAAATGAAACATGTGGAATGCAGTTTCTCCTCTTTTCCTGTTGAGCAAAATTCAAAGATGTCACTTGAGAAAATACAAATAAAAATCACGATGAATGGGAAACACTTGGCTTTCTGTCACTGATGCCGTCAATCATTCTACATTTACAACTACAGTGTTTCATTTGACCTACAAATACAGTCACTACACATTACAGGAAACTCGCACTTTTGAGGCTTTTCAATGTACAAAGATGCCATTTCCAGGCTGAAATTTAGACTTACTGAGTTGATTTCAACTAAAATTAAATTAATTGGATGTTTCACCAATTAATAGGTCTTCTCGCTGTTATTTCTCTGATTTATTTCTTCATTTTAACAAATTTGGAAGGTGGGAAAATCTGTCAGCTTCAAACTGTGCTTTTGAGAATGTAAGTCTAATATATACATTTATTGGATTTATTTGACCAATTTTAAACATTCAACAGTCCATACTGAGCACATGAGGTAAATTAAATGTATTTTAAATATAGAATAAGCAGGTATCAACTCTGATGTCTGTTTGAAGTAATTTCTGCATATAAAATTCAACTAACTATATAACAGGGAACTAAATATACAGCTGGCAGAAACACTAGTTTCTATTGAGTTTACATAAATGTCTTTTATATACAAAGGGAATTTAACTTCTCAATGGTGTAAACATTTCAGGACTGTTTTTTTCTTCCTTGTGTGAAAAAACGTTTAAACTGATTCATTCACCAAACGTAAAACAAGATACGCTTTCAAACTAAATAAAATTAGTGCCTGTCACAGCCTCACTTACCACTTACCAAACAACCCTGAGGCATGGAAAGCCACACATGCCGCAAACTTATGCCTTACCACTGATAGTTTCAGCCCAACAAAAGGAAAAAGCATAGGTCCCTAAAAGAAAATACAAGGTTTTAATCAAAGCAATGCAAAGTTATAATCGAGTTGAACAATTTTGGGGGGAGGGAGGGGAAAGAAATCAGAAAATGTCAAACATTTACCTGAAGAGAAGATTGGAAATCTTATCCACTGCAAGGGATTCAATAGTTTTGTCTATCGGCTGTAACATAAAAAGAACTAAATATCCTGCCGTCATGAACATTAGGTTTCTAATGAGATTAGACGTCTTTTAAAAGCAAACCTCTGTGGAATGACGATGTGTGAAGCAACATTCAACATTGTGAACCGGGTTGAAAGAACACAAACAAAGGTAAACAAATAAGATATTTATTAAGTTTAAATTACAAGTTGCTCCTCACTAAATGTTGATAACCGATTGTTAAACTTTCAAATATACATTAACCGCTTTCTCTCTCAAATAAAGATGACAGATGGACAATGGCAGTGGTTTGTTAACATCATACGAAAACATGACAATTGGTTTCAAAAATATACGCTACATTACGTAAGTTTCCATCGGAAAAAATCTAAATTACACAGACCTTTTGTGCAGGAAAGAGAGGTTAAACCCACACATTAATATTACCAGGAATACTAAATGGGAGATGATAGCCGTCAGTTTTAAATCAGCCGTAAATTACAATAGCAGACAGACACACAACACGAGATCTGACGATTGCAGAAAGTGCCAGGACAACCTGTTTTACAGAAAGACATCCTCATTCATCAATACAAACTAAAACTGGCAACGTACCCTACCTATCCTTGTCCCACCCACCCAATTCAACGACAACAAAAAGAACTGGCATCTATATAGTGGCCTTCACGCAGGGTAGCAGCCAAGAGCACTTCATTCAAAACTGTTGGTTGCTTAACAATCCAACTTACTTTACAGAAAACAAACGTACCTCAAAAATGAACAAAATATAACACCCAACTTGCATGTATTATAGCACCCTTCACACCGGGTAGCAACCCGGATCGCTCAACAGTGGTGGAGTCTAAAATAAAAATACAGCCACTGCGGATCAAACTGTCACTTTTTGGTCAATGTTCCAAGCTTTGTGCATTTAATACAAAAAATCACACAGAAACACAAAAGTATGCTCAAAAATATGTACAAATAAATTACAGACTGCTGTTAAAATGACTGAGAAGGATCTGAAGCATTCCTCAACTCATCTTTTATAAAATTGAGAAGCTGGACACGGGTGTGTACAGTAAGAAGCATATCCGAGCTGATAAAACATCACAACGGTGCATGCCATATTTGCAGTCTATAAAGACTTGTAATTTACTTATTATACTCCAATTTTACAGTACGTTAAATTCAGACGGCAGTATCAAAAGGTGTCATTGACAATTGTCTCACTTATGTTGCTGTTGAAAATCTTTCACTGTGATCCACAATCATTGCACAAAATATATTATCCAAGGCAGAGGTTAAGTTGCATCGCTGGCGTATCAAACCACAGCAACATTAATTCTCGCTCTGCATATTTGCATGATAAACTATCCCCCCCACCTCCCAACGTGGAAACTAAGTTTGAAGTGCTATCTTTATATTACCTTCACAAAGTTGAACTCCAACCTGTAAATCAACTCGAATCATCGGGATTTAGACAGACTCGAACTAAATACTAATGCTTCAAAGAGCAATGGTGGGAGATCATGTCAAAAATACACGTATGGAGGGTAGTTCGATTATTTTAGGTACTTGGAGAGAAAAGAAAATGACAGGAAGATAAATAAAAAGAAATATAAACAGCAATGCAAATGGTACTGAAGTTAAATGATCAATTGATCAACCGTTGGAAGAGTTTTATGCTTCACATGCATTTCAGCCAGTTCGACAGGAACTTACAACTAAAGACGATAATTACCCGATAAACGTTTGTATGGCCATAATAATCGGCTGCACACAGACAGGACAAGGCATTTTACGTTTATACAATTTTCTATGGATAATATTTCCAGTTCTGGGTCGGACCCCACGAATAAGACAGGGTCCCAAACGTTGCCTTCTGGATTGCAAGGAATCCTCGCATTGTCTCTTTACAGTTTTTGCTCCTTTGCCCACAGAGTCAAGATCCTCTCTACTTCTCCACAAGCCGGAAGTGGATGGTTGTGAGAGACTATCCAATGATTCTGAAGAGGCACAGGGAGTACTTATTATCCCCTCCTCTTTGCATTTCAGGTCTTGAATCAGAATCACTGGCTCCGAGATGGGCCTCGGAGTCAGGAACATCAATACCTTCATACGGCTCGTTCTCTGCAATGGTAATTGATGGGCCTGCTGTGGAACGTGTGAGCTCAGGGCATTTAAGGTGCCACCCGCCGCGGAGTGCCCAACACTGCAGGCAATACTGCTTCTGCGAAGGATTGTCCTCTCCACACTTGGTGCACTTCCAAGAATTCTAAAAGTTAAAACAAGCATCTCAAATTAGGGGAAAAAAAGCAACAAACAGCAACGATTTTATATCAAATTACATAATACAAACAGCAACAGCAAGACTGAGGTTCTGCAATAGTAACAACAAAATCGTTAATATGCCTTTGGCTTCTACTAGGATAGACTGCATTAACAGGGACCTCTTAGCTCCACTGATACACAAGACCACAATGTCCTAATGATTTATCATAGCAAAATCTTCTCTTTGCATTACTATAACAGCTACCGTTCACTGAGATTAATAGTTTGACTCACATCTGAGATTTCAGGGTCGGTGGCATGCCCCGAACATGGCAGACCCTCGCCAGCTTCATAAATCGTAACTTCAATAACCTACAAAGGTAAAGGAGGAGAACAAAGGGGGGAGAAAACAGCAAAACAAGTCAGAAAAGAAACGATCCCAAAGATAGCTGTGACTAAATAGCTGTCAGTGTAAGTCACTATTAAGTGCAGTGCAACACTTACCTTGATACTTGAAGGTTAGGGTTACCATCAACTTTCATTTTGATCTGTGCTCATGCTGGTGAGGAATGATAGGGCTGGGAATTTGTTTTTGAACATTTCACCCAGTGATCGGATCGAGCACTCCTAGTTCATGGTTCAAATGTACTGCTGAACTGTCTGCATACAATGTACATTGACATACACCTCATAGAGAGAGGCACGGCCACACTACACCAGTGTGAACCTTCCCACACTTCATCCTTGGGGTTGCTATAACTGAGCTTGTTGAACTAGAAGCAATCTTTGCTACATTCAGGGCATTTAACTGAGTCAATTGCCCACAAGCTCTAACAGCCTCCGATTCCAAAACCCAAAGACAAGGATCTTCTCCAGTCGGGAAAGAGAGCAATTTAACCTGAGACAGACAACGACCAGGGGGTAAAGTTAATTTTACTGACTATTGTCATTAGTACTCTTCATATACAAAAACATTTGTATTATTTGGACCTTTACCTCTCCCACCCTCTGTATTTTGTCAATTGTGCCAATTTCTTTCCACATAATCAGAACTCTCATCTTTTTGAAATACAAATGACCACATTACAATTATCACTTTATGAATATTTGAAGAACTACAATCAATTATTTCTTGAGCTATGACGAAAATCTCTGCTATTTGTTTGGTGCAACAAGTACACAAAAATATATTTTAAGAGTTCAAACTGACATAGAAGTCAAAGCTCTTTCTCAAATTAGCAAAAGGATCTTCAATTAATGTCTCCTCTTGCTTATGCAGTAGATCACAATAGCGAGCTTACAGTTCTAACATGTCAAATCGCTCACTGTATGGAGGCAAACAAGGTGACATGTCATTCACTAGAATTTAAATTTGACTTGCTCAGTCTGTTTCCTTCTGAAGTTAAGCATTAGTGTAGCAATCTTACATTGAAAAAATATATCTAATCCTCATCTTTTTGAACTTTGCATACAGCAGATTTACTGGAACCATAAAATAAAAGCTTAATTTGTTTGACATAATTCAATGTGTTGCAAACATTTTTGAAAGGGATAAGTTGTGGCCTTTTTGATAACTTCAGCAGGTGTGGCACATTCATGCCATTACAGACGAGTTTGGTCGAACAGTCTACCGACCTCTTTGGGATCTGTGTTCTTGTCTTCCTCTTTCTCCCCCTCTCGGTCACGTATTTTAGGATGAATGGCTCCCTCTTTGATTTCTACGTTGGCTTGATCGTGGACGGGTTCATTCAGAAACCACAGATCATCAGTGGAGTCGGATACAATGGCAGTGTCTATACCCTGAAGGATCAAAGAGGCTTGAATATCCCTGGTAACCTTGTAAACTTGGTGCAGAGAATGGCACTTGGCAACAAGGTCTTATAAATGGGGAGAAAATATCCATCTTCTATTAATAAGGGCCACTCTACCTGGTTACTATGAATATTTGCAAATCCACTTTTTCTACTTAATAATAATAATAATAATAATCCTTGCATTTGATATAGCGCTGTTCACGTCGGGAGGATGTCCCAAAGCACTTCACAGAACACACTGTAAAGTGAATTGACTGTATATTTGTGGGCGAACGCGGCAGCCAATTGCGCACAGCAATGTCCCACAAACAGTTGTGGATTGAAAATGAGCAATTTATTATTGTTTTGTTTTGGAGGGAATATTATTAGGCTCTGTGTGGAGTAAGGAAACTTGCCCGAGGTTTGGCCCTGACCCCCCGGGGATTCAAGTCGGGTCTCTCGCTTGCAAAGCGAGTGCTCTAACCCCTGAGCTACAGGACTGCACAACTACTTCCATAGTTACTTTGCAAACTTGTTATAAACCACCAATGCAATCCTGCTGTGTCCCAGTGATCTGAAACACTCTCGCTTCTCTGCCTTTTAGATTGAAGTTCAGGTTGATCATCTGTATCCAAGTCATCTAAAACAAAAAACATCATTCAAGTTTTAGGAAGGAATTAAATGTGGAGATTTAAATAAAATCGCTTTTTTTAATTTGTTTAAAAATTACATTTGCAAAATATTAAGCCTCAAACATACACTCACATAAATTCAAGCTGAGGTAGTTTTTCAAACAATGAAACCAGTTGCACATAAACTAACCGCAAGTTTATATTCTCAATCTCCTCACTGCAACAGAATCGGAGTCATCTCCCAGTATCCTCTTGTAACTGGGAAAGTGGAATTGTCTGAGTCAGGATCCTATTAATGACACGGATATTGGGAGGCCTATCGAGGATCAGATGGCCCCTGATCTTGGTGCAATCTATTCCTCACAAGTACACACCATATAATGATATCACACCAACTAACCTGATTCAGAGTTCTTTCTTTTCCCCCCTCCTCGCTCCCTCCCTCCCCCCCTCACCCTGACCATTTCCCCCTCCTCGCTCCCTCCCTCCCCCCCTCACCCTGACCATTTCCCCCCTCCTCGCTCCCTCCCTCCCCCCCTCACCCTGACCATTTCCCCCCAATGCTCGGGTCATGACCCAACTGTGCAGCGCCTTGGGACGTCCTCGTGACGTGAAAGGCGCTTTATAAATGGAATCTTGTTGTTGTTGTTGTTGTGAGGGAGCTGAATTGGGTACTATGCAGACAGTTTCTTCTTCACTCGGCTCTCCTGTCAGGCACTACGAGGAGGAAAGATAAGGGACAAGTGTTTACAACAATTATCCTCTACAAATTTAATAGGATATACCAGTTCTACGCAGCCACTGACTTTCGTGTGTTTTTTTTAAAAAGGCAGAACCCAGGTTAGATACTCCCAAACCCCATTGAAATGAAGGCAATGATTTCAATTTATTCATCTAAAATTCTACATTCAAATTATAGAATGTGACAATGTAGAGCAATAAATATTTTATTCCCCTCACAATTATTACAATCTAATGAGGATTGTGTATAGAGCAGGACACACAATGAGGGATGTCAAATAGGAAATAAAAATCTGTCGATGGCAATAGGTATTATTCAGATGCCAGTTTCACAGAAATACAGAAAATAGGCATCAAGCCAAATACAAAATTGCACACATTGAACACATTTACATGGTTTGACGAGGTAACTTTCCAATTTTCTGCCTTAATGAACTGGTAATTTAAGACATTTCAATACAGTGCATAAACACCAGGCTAGTTGCTTTAAGAGCTTGACTCATAAGTAGAATAATTTCCAAAATAAAACATTCCAATCTCTGCCATTCCTTTCATTATCTGGAAGATTGTTTTGTTCAATCATGAAAGGTTTAATGGGTAATCAGTGTTGAGAGCAGATGAAAACAATAAATGGTAATTTTGAGTTCCACATACAAGCACAATGTATTAGCAGCCCCAATTTATTTTTCTTACAAATATTTGGTGAGTACTTTTCTTTGCATACATGATACTAAATGGCTAATCCAGATAAGAAAGGAACCTCTTATTTTATGGCAGCACATACAGACAACATTGTCTGGTAAATTAAAAAACAAACCTCAGAGCTGCAACATAGCATAACTTCACAATTAAAGATCCTTGCCTCCATTCACCCTCAAACCTAACAATTCACTTAAGGAAATCAGATCTTGCCTTTTAGTGGACAAGGGGTTCAGCTACGTGGTTTCTGCCATCTTCCACGAGACGGGGCAAGTGGATAGAGAAGAGGTGCTACATCCTCCAACACACAGAGAAGTGAACTCTGAAGACAGAACAGAGAAGAGGGCTCTGTCCCTCCTGTCTGTGAGCTTAGGCGACAATACCCTCAGACAGGAAGTACAGAGACGGGGCCACTCTGTACAAAACGAAGATGTCACGATAGTTTTACCTTCAGGTGTCCTTCCCTCAGAGGCAGGCAATTCGTTTCCTTTACAAGTGTACGAGTCTGAGCAGAATCTGCATTACAGGTTAAAAAAAGACACCTTCCCCAGTAATAACCATTCTCACAACAGTCATTGGAATTTATCGTGCATTGCCAGTCAATCAACCAGTCTTTGATTGATTATCCATAAGGAGGTTATACCACCACTGCCATAGGCCAAAGTGTAACCATATAGACTTTTTTAGACGGGGAGAGGGAAACTGTGGATGCGATTTTTATATTTCGTTTCATTGAAATTCAAAGCTATTCATGAGAATTAATCCCATGTAGCAAGATAAAACTATAGATAACAACTACATAAATCGACTGCATCGACTGCAATGCATTTCCACAGTGAAAGGGTGAAAATGTTTCAAATCTGCACAAAATTGCACAGCTTCAATAGTGCAATTTATTATGTGTGTATATTTTAGCTCAGTGAGCACTCTGCAGCCAAAACGCAAATTGAAGAAACTAATTTTTGTGCATTTACAACCCTTAGGATACTTTATAAACAGTTTAGTGACATCAATTGGTGGATAATGAGCACTGCATGACCTTTTTTTAAAAAAAATCAATGTGTACTCCAGAGAAATTCAAGAAACAGAGGGACACTCGATGCTTACATTGCAAAATGTACTTCAGCCGACAGTGGTTATGATTTACTGAAAGGTATAATGTGTGCACATTCAGGTGTCCAATTGAGACCTGATGTTACCACCACATACAGTTTAGTTTAGAATTGTGTGGCAGTAAGTAGATTCTATTTAATCCTTTTTCCTATTACTAGAGGCAGGATACTATCGAAATAATTTGCAGTCCAATAAATAAGTCTTATGTGAGAGTCAAGAGTTTAAATTCACGCATTCACTGACATTCCAACTCACATCCATTCCCCTACATCCTCGGAAAATTTCACCAGTTCTTGGCGCTTTTCACAAATGTAATGCTCGCTTTCATGTGGAGGTGGAAGGATGACCGAAGGCACAGTCAAAGAGGAAGGTAGGTCTTGAGAACAGGTCATGGCACAGATGTGGAGTTTAAGATAGCTGAGGGTCGAAAAAGACACCAAGTTTCCATACTGGCTCAGTCAGATGAAGAGTTCACCCATGAATAGTGATGTTGTCAGCACCTAAGGTGAGGAGGCGCTGACAGGAGCCAAGCAGGAGGGCCTTGGTCTTGTTGGCATTCAAATGGACAAGACAACGTTAATGTGAGGTACTCTTAGAATACATCAACATTAGCCGACATATCACCACTTCATTCTTATGAGCATTTACAAGAAATTATCCACACGATTTCACATTTCATTGTTGAAGCTCTTTCCTTAACTATCTGCTCCATTACATCACTCACCAGTTTCCTATCAATACAGACTTAACCACATTTTTATGCTTTACTATACAAAATTACAAATAATATACGTACCGTGAAAGTTCAAAGCTATTAGGTTCCTTGAAAGCATTTCATACAATTGGCTGTAAGAAAATATTGTATAATTTAGTATGTTTTGTGTATAACGCAGTACTACAATGAATTCCAATTAGCAGAAGCTTCAGAGTTCCACAATACTTGGACAAAGGGAATAGTTTTTTTTACCTGGGAACTTTAACAGAGAAGCTCTCGACTTCAAATACTTTACCCAGTGGATCATTTCTGCAGTATACTATATGCTGCTGCTGTTTATCATAAAGTTGCTTTAACATTATATACTGGCCGAGATAATGCATTACCTGCAAAAGTAACAAATAGATCAGAATATACTCACTTATCACCGCAAAAATCCCAAATTAGTTTGCCATACACATGTACGTGAACATCAAGGAATACTAAAAACTTCATGCAAGGTCAAAACACTGAACTGCAGGTACAGGGGATTCTATGCATCAAGTTTCCAATCTTGGCTCAGTGATCCCCTATACCTCTATAACCGGCTGCAATGACGTGTATGACTAGTGTATGAAGTGTAAACGGTGTAGCTCAAGCTGAATGGCACATAACCTCAAAGGCAAACCCTTGCAAAACAGTACGGCAATAATAATAATAATAATAATAATCCTTGCATTTGATATAGCGCTCTTCACGTCGGGAGGACGTCCCAAAGCGCTTCACAGAACACACTGTAAAGTGAATTGACTGTATATTTGTGGGCGAACGCGGCAGCCAATTGCGCACAGCAATGTCCCACAAACAGTCGTAGATTGAAAATGACCAATTTATTATTGTTTGTGGTTTTGGAGGATTATTATTAGGCTCTGTGTGGAGTAAGGAAACTTGCCCAAGGTTTCGCCCTCTGCCTGGGATTGAACTCAGGTCTCTCACTTGCAAAGCGAGTGCTCTAACCACTGAGCTACAGGACTCCACAATTATATTGTAATCAATAAAAAGAAAATAGCAACAATGCACAACTGGAGAAAACAAGCTATACAGTAGATCCTGTAACATAATATAAATTTCATATTGGTCTAAAATTCACTGTACAATGACTGGTCATTGGTGAATGAATTATCAAATGATGACATCCTGGTTTCATAGGGTGTTCTCATTTACAAATGCTCTGAAAAGGCCCAAAATCCAGTGCCACACACTTTGGGAAAAGGAAATGTGGGAAATAAGATGACCACAATTACTGTATTCAGATGTTCGGGTCCTCAAACACTTAGCTTAGGTTCTCATTGCCAACTCTCATAACGGGAAGTAATCAGCCAGTTAGATAATAAGGACTCCCTCTGTGGGAAAAACAGGCATGACAGTAAATTCAAACAATACCATGCATGCTGGTATACCTGCTGCGGGTGTGGAACAACATTCCTATGTTCCATTCCATCCGTACAAGTACCTCAAACATAAACTTGAGCTTCAAAGCTACCTAACCAGCACGGCAGATTGGAAATATGTTCAGTTACAATCTTATATAGGAACTAATTGTATTTTTAAGAGCCACATTTCTCCTCTTTCTTTTACCTCCTTCAATGTGAAAGTTTCTCCTGATGCACCTGCTTCATGAAGAAGGTTCAGCAGAAGAGGCTTTCGCCTGATCTGTATAGAGCAAAACAATGTAGATTAAAAAACTGATTAAAACAATTATAATCCATATTTGTTAGCCACACTGAGTGTTCATGTTCTTCAAATAATGCAGAACAGTGGGAACAACAGCAACTATTTGTACTTACAATGAACACTTAAAATAGAAAGCACAGGATCACAGACTATACAGCATCAAATCAGGCCATTCAATACAATTAGTCCATGCCAATATTTACACTTCACATGAGCCTCCTAATCCTTTCCCTCCATTCCCTTCTCTCCATATATGGAATTGTTCATGTATTTTAATAATTCAAATTAGCAAGTTATTTGAAGTGGTATAATATCACCACTTTACCCAACGAAGTGAGTTTTCAAAACTTATTAAATGAATTTCACTCCATTAAAATATAAAGTTTCCTCACTTTGTAATGAAACTCTGTTGTAGTTCTGCGCACTCTTTTCACCGTTAAACCTCATGGTGCTGACATAACGAGGAACTATGTTTGCTGTTCATGTAAATGTTGTGCGAATTGAAAATATTAAGAAAAACTGAAATTCTTTTAAAATCTACAAAATCCAAGTTTACAAATGCACTTTGCGTATTTTCCAAACAACGTATTGGATGAGGAAACAACCCTTTGATTGTTGGTGAAATCTTACTTGTTTTATTGATATGAACTGTTTTTGTCCACACAGTTTGATCATAACTCAGCAACAACTGGCATTTATGCAACACCCTTCACACGGGGTAAAGTCTCGAAGCACTTCAACTCTCGCCTATTGCTAGTATTACGGAATTTAACAAACTTTAAATAAACAGTACAAACCGCCTTTTTTAAATTCAAGTTCTTACAGTCAAAAGAATTGCCATTTATGATAAAAGTTACCGACCTTTTCTGTGGAACTGCCACACGAGATATCAGATGAGCTGAAAAAAGAAAAAACATGTAAGTGTTTGTGAACATTCAAAAAAGCCCGACTGCAAGGCGCTGGATAAGGGGTAAGAGCATATTAAAATGTCTTAATCTAATGGGGAGTACGTACATGGTTCGGTACCAGAGAGATCGCTCATTCTCACCCTAACTTACTAACTGTTCAAAATGTCCTTATTAAAATGCACCAGTTCTGAATGATTCAGAATTAATTTAACGACAACTTGCACTTATGTAGCACTCCTCCCGTAGACAGCATCCCAGGAAATCCCAGAACAAGTCAGGACATGTACCTGTAAACCCCCTCATCACTCATATGATTAACTTAGTTGACAGTAACAGCTGAGTTAACTGTAATCCCTGTAAGTACCCATTTATTTAAGCACAAGACGGCCCTTTACAACATCTCCCTCCCTTTAAGTCCCCAAAAGGGCAAGTGCCTTCTTTAAAAGGCAGCCGCTTCCTTACGTAAAATCCGAGGGCACCATTCGAAAGAGAAGTTTCCCAACACTCTCCAGATTAACTATCTATGGATCTTGCCATGTGCAAAATGGCAACTGCAGAAGTCACTATAGGTGATAGGAATTACTGTGAAGTGGTTTGATGTAATAGACTCTATAAAATGCAAATCCTTTTCTTCTCGTCCCAAGTTTCCAGATCTTTCCCGAGTGTAGAGTTGAAGAGTTAATTTCCGTAATTTTTAAATGCAGTTAAACTCTTGCAATTTGAGCCACTGATGATCCCAACACCACCGCTGCCCAGGAGTCCTCTCATGTCCTGAGATTCCACAAATATAATTACATTACAGATCAATATCCACTAATCATTATAATAATCCTTGCATTTGATATGGCACCTTAGCCTTATCACATATTCTTTGAGACGTCTATGAGTGATTGCATTATTTTAATGACGGAGAAGGGGGGAGAGAGAGAGTCAGTAGGGAGGAAGGGGAAAGGAGAGAGCAGGGGGGAAGGAGCGAGAGAATAGGGGGGAAGGAGAGAGAGAGGATGGCAGGGAAAGGAGTGGAGGCAAGGGAGGAGAGAGAGGGGGGGCAAGGAAGGAGGGAGAGAAGAGAGGGGGGGCAAGAAAGGAGGGGGGGCAAGGAAGGTGAGAGAGAGGGAGAGGAGAGAAAGAAGGGGGGAAAGAAGAGAAGGGGGGAGGAGAAAGAAAAGGGGGGAAGTAGAGAAAGGGGGGGAGGAGAGATGGAGGGAAGGAGAGAGAGGGATGGGGGGAAGGAGAGAGAGAGAGAGGGGGGGGGTGGAGAAGTAGAGAAAGAGAAGGGAAAAAGGAGAGAGGGGGAGGAAGGAGAGAGAGAAGTGGGGGGAGGAGAAAGAGAAAGGGGGAAGTAGAGAAAAAGGTGGGGGGGAGGAAGGAGAGAGGGATGGGGGGGAATGGAGAGAGAAGGGAGGGGAGAGAGAGGGGGGGGGGAGGAGTGGTGAAGTA